TAAAAATAATCATAAGTAGTATAATGAAAACTAATATTAAGTATAATGCACAATAATTTATTTAGTTAATTTCTTTTTTATTATTAAAGAAACGAATTCTAAAAAAAGACAGATAAATCTTTAGAATCTCAATGAATGCATCTTAATTTTAGAGAAATACATATAGAAAGACCAAAATACCCTCGATTACTATTAGTGCATGGAGACTATAGAAGAGCTCGATCAAAAATATTTAATTGGTACGATATTTGAATTATAAAATGATAGAAAATATAGAATATATATTTATAAAATGACAATTATTTCCCGTCGTTTTTCTTTCCAATCTATTATTTTCGTCAAGTTATTGTCCATAAATAGTAGTATAATAATTAAAATGTAAGCAGTTTAAATAAATGATTCATGAACCCAAAGGCGCAGCCAGAACAAACAAAAGAGCCCCACATCTCACCTCTACGTGATGTGCTGTGTCGCTAATCACTTCATTAAATCTCAAAGATTGCGGTGGCACAACGAATTGTCATTGAACCTTCATCTAAACTTCTAGCGTAAATTACAATCACCCCTGACGTCAGGGGTGGACCCAAGGTATACCGCCGCTGCAGAAAATTTTTTTTTACCTATTTTTTATTAAATTTTTAATATTTTATGTTATTTATCTATTGATTTATACCATTTAGCCCCCCAAACTTCAAATTTAGTATCATTTTAGTTCAAAATTTTTTTTTTAGCCCCCCCACCCAATAATCCCTGGGTCCCGCCGCTGCCTGACGTATGGTCATATTACAGAAACCCCCCTTCTTTTTTGGATAATTACAATCATTCCTCTCAACCATAAATCTTTTTACATGTTTATCATTGCGATGTCAAATTTCGAAGAATCTTCTACATTATATGGAATACTCTCAATTTTGTACTCGTTTTATCCCCAACCGACCTCCACATTTTGAAGCAAAATGATCATAAGATGTGTTTTTTGGCTTGTATATATCATATTGTGGTGGATCAGAAACTGTATTTTTACATAAAACAAGTACAAACTAGAGAACATTCAATGGAATCTATATGATTATGTTGAATTTGACACCATAAGGGTGGAGTTGTAAGAAAATTCATAATTAAGGGGTAGATGTAATTAATAAACAAGATGATGTTTTTTTGTAATTTGATCATACCTTATGGGTGGTTGTAATTTACCCAAACTTTTATTCAATTAATAGTACTCATAATTTTTAAATCAACACCCACTTTATAAGCAAGGTGGAGATTACGCGATGAATCCGCAACAGGTAATGAAGCGGGTTAAATTGCCATCCCTCTAATTGTATCACATTATTCATTCAATTATAATACTTTATCCGTGTAGGATTTAACAGAATTATTTTTCAGAGTATCTCTTATTTGGAAACATGGTTAAGTACACACCATACATAATTAATTACATTTATAAATTGAAAATATATATTGTGCTCATAATACATAATAAAATAGTACTGAAGGAAAAATTGAACACGAATATTTTAGAATTGACTTTTATTCAAAGGTAAGACCAATTATAAGCATCAACGTCCAATGTAAGACCATATGCACATGAAGAAAAGTCTATTTTCCAAATGTTTGAATGTTGAATCTCACCTGTCTGATTCTACCATAATTAATTAATACTGTATTTTCTCGACTTCTTTTATTTATTTACTTAATTTAATGAAATATAATGTAGTAATATACTAATTGCTGGTAAATGCACACGTGCATAACTTGCCAATTTGGGATATTTAAATTTATTTTAGGGTGACTGGGCGAGAATCGTCTTAGATTATAACTAAAAAATTTCAAAGAATTTTTATCAAGAATTCAAAACAATCAAATAATATAATTTTTTTATATTAAATATCATATATCAAATGAACCAATAACCAAAGGCAACAACAATAAAAAAGAAAAGAAGAGAAAAAAGAAAAAAAAGACCAGAAATATGCAGCTAGCCATCCTGGCTCGTTGCATCTCTGGCTTTAAACCTCGTTTTGTTGGGGAGATTAGTTATGATTAATTAAAAAATTGGACTTTATTCGATGCTTGATATTCCAAAAAACTTAGTGGGTCGACAAACAAATATTATACTCTCATGGTTCATCTTACCCAAGGTTGTAAAAAGCGAAAATTGGGTCGAAGGCAGTCAGACACCGACTCACGATTAATCGGTGCGGCGGTGATTAATCGGCAATAAATCGAAAATTAATTGACTTTTAAAATTAATATAATATATTTCTAGATATTATTATAAATACTCAAAACATATATAAAAAAATCAAGAATATATCCCTAATAAATTAATAAAAGTTTAATTATAATTAGATCATAATACGATAAAATCCTTTATAAAAATATAAATAAAAAGGCTATTTTTTTTAATTTAATTTTATTCTTGAACATTCCAAGCATATATCATTAGGTTTTAAAAAAAAAATTAACATAACCAAATAAAACATAAAGTCATATTTTTATTAAAATCTCAACTTTTATTTTGAATTAAAAAAGTTAAAAAGTTAAAAGAAAAAAAAAATGATTTTTGACCTCAAAAGTTTGACCCGTCTTTAAGGTTTGATCGTCTGGGACCGCCTCAACCCGCCTCACAGGCCAAAACTCAAGTTTTCAAACCTTTACACCAAAATCGTAAAGGTCTAGGACCACCTCCGAGGCCAATTAATCAGCCGTCTCGGCCGATTTTTAGAACACTGATCTCACCTTATGTTTTCTTTTAGAAAGTTATTTTGTTAGACGTCCCGATGTCCGATAAAATAATTAATTTTTCATTATATTATTTAATCCTATCTTGACTAATTTTATCTTGGCAACCAAAGGAGAACTTAGATAAGGTGAATTGTTTGATATTTACAAAATACAATTATCCAGTCAATGATGACTAATTTCCTAACCAAACAAGGTCTTAGTCTACTTTCGCCTAATTAAATAAAAAAATTACAGGTAAGTCATTAACTTCTAAATTATTCAGTTACTCGCGGAATGTGGAGTGAAGTGAATACTTCTTACCTCATGATCCTCTTTTTCACGGATAAATTCTCTATTGGGTGGTTTAAGTTCTCCTATTTAAAAGCATTTGCAAACCCCACCTTAATTTTAAGAGATTCGTAATCACATTTTGAACAAATTATTTATATTTTAGTTTATATTAAAAGTTTATAAATATTTAATTTTATTGTGTTCTAAAATAAATTTTATAAGTTTAACTCTGACGCGACCACTTCTTGTGCAGGAGTAAGAGTGTGTGAATATAACTTCACTAAAAAAAGTAAATTTTTAAGTGATAAAACTACTTTGATGTAGTTAGACAAAAAATATTGTCACTATATTTGTATCTGACGGTATATCACTTATTCAATATAGTGACAGTGAAAAACTATTAATCGGAAACATGGTCGAGCCCGACATATTTAGAGGCCCCGCGCAAAATAACGAATTGATTAATCGGAAACATGGTCGAGCCCGACATATTTAGAGGCCCCGCGCGAAATATCGAATTGGACCTTTTCAATAATATAACATAGGGGTTCAGGAGCATCGCCTTCAACTTTTTTTTCTTTCCTTTATATTACGGCGCACACCTTTTATATAGTGAAACATGGAAACATCTTAGCCAAATCCATCCCTTTTTTTCATTAGAACCACGAAATATTATCTTAGGGTTATGTACTGATGGGTTCACTGTTTTTAACAACATTGTTGTTCCTTATTTGTGTTGGCGTGTTATGATTGTTGTTTAATATACAATCTTCCTCCAAGTATGTGCACGGAAAAATCGTATATATTCTTGAATATGGTTATTACTGGTCCTAGATCTCTCGGAAAAGGGCTAGATGTATTAATGTGGCCTCTAATTGATGAGCTGAAAGCATTATGGTGTGAAGGTATTGAAACATACAATGCACTCAAAAACAAAATTTTCAAATGAGAGATGCTCTTTTATGGACGAACCATGATTTTTCCGCATACAACATGGTGTCTTGTTGGAGTACTATGCCTTTATTGTATGGAGCACACAAAATCTTTTCATTTAGTAAAAAAATGCAAAAACTCATGTTGTGTGACCGCCATCGTCAATTTTTGCCTCCTCGTCATTCTTATCGGAAAAAAAAATCATATTACAGGCTAACTTGAAAGAGAATCTCCTCCATTGTCTGAGTGAAGAAGCTAAAAGACCAGTTAGTCAACTTCCTCCTCAAATATATAATAGATTAGGCAATCCTAAAGCATTACATGGATTTGGCGATGATCTCATTTAATCCTAAAAATTATTTAATATTTTTTTGTGTGATGGATGATCTCATTTTAATGTTTTATGCAATAATATTTTTCGTTATAGTGTAAATCGATATTATATGATTCCTACTTCATATATATATATATATATATATATATATATATATATATATATATATATATATATAGGAGTAGAAAAAGTATTGAAGAATTTCTTGGTGGTCCATATGGCTTGGAGATATATATAAGTCTTGTTGATGTAAACCTTGTCTTTATGTTTATCCATGGACATATGACAAATCAGTATCCCTTGACAAAGGTTGCTTCATCATATATAGTCCAATTATGACATTGATGCCTTGGAAATTCACATCTCTCTTCTATGGATTTGATCCATAGACCCGAATTTTTTAGATATTACAATGGTAAGTTACGACTAGGGGTGTTCACTCTATTGGTAAATTGACTGAATCGTACTGAACAGAAATTCGATCAATACATGCCCGAATACTGAACCGAAAATTTGATTTGGTATTCGGTATTTTTTTTTAAATATTTTGGTGTTCGGTGTGGTATACAATATTGATGTGGCCGGTATATACTACCGTACAAAATACTAAAATATTTAAAATATATTTATTTTTTTTCTTTTATTTCAAATCCTTTAAAAAGTTATAACAAACTATAAAATACTTATAGATTAATAGAATTTTGCATTATTTATATTTTTGTAAATTTTGAATGTTTTGGAATAGAAATTGGAAGTGGATTTCTTGTCATTCAATCCTAGGTGGTGTCGAGTCTCTCTTGTTTGTTCATATTTTACCCACGTGCTTAAATAATTCTAATTTTCTATTTTCTATACAAAAGAAGAATATTGTGAACGCCAACAACTTGCTCCCACCACTTGCATATTTCTTTTTGGAACTTTCATGGAAACCAAACCCCCACAAAAAGTTACCCACGGGTGCATGCATCTCTCTCTCTCTCTCTCTCTCTCTCTAGATATCTCTCTCTCCTCACCCTATATATACCCAACAACATAGTTCATCCAAAAATTCAGAAACTTTTTTACCACTCTCTTCTTCATTACCTTTCAAGATTCTTGAATCCCCATTAGCTAAAATCGATCGGAACTCCGACTATGTACAAATCAATTACGAGCCATGAGTTAACGGCGGTGTATTGCCGGAGCTCGAGTTTCAGCAGTCTCATGCCTTGTTTAACGGACACATGGGGTGACTTGCCGTTAAAAGTTGACGACGCTGAAGACATGGTCATCTACTCCCTCCTCCGCGACGCCGTCACCGACGGCTGGACGCCCTTCACCAACCCCAAACCCGAACCCGAACCCGAACCCGAACTCTGTAGGTTTCAAGTCTGGCCGCCGGAGATGAGCTTCGCCACCACCACCACCGTGAGAGAGGACGACTATGTGGCTGCTGCTCCGGCGGCGACGCGGCCGAAGGGGAGGCACTTTAGAGGAGTGAGGCAGCGGCCGTGGGGGAAGTTCGCCGCTGAGATAAGGGACCCGGCGAAAAATGGGGCGAGGGTGTGGCTCGGCACGTACGAGACGGCTGAGGAGGCGGCTCTGGCTTACGACCGAGCGGCTTATAGAATCCGTGGCTCCAAGGCTCTTTTGAACTTCCCTCACAGAGCTGGCTCGAACGAGCCGGAGCCGGTGAGGGTGGCGGGTAAGAGGCGGTCGTCCGAGTCGGTTTTATTATCAGCGGTTTCATCCGGCTCGGGTAGTGGGTCCCCCAAGCGGATGAAGAAAGGTGCGGTGGTTGAGAATACGGAGACGGAAGTGGAGAGCCGATCTAGTGTATCTCAAGTGGAGTGCCAAATGACACAATTGCCAGCTGGCAGCCAGTTATTGGTTGCCTGAATTTGCGTTAGGGCTTGTTTGGGTTATTGAAAAGAGAGGGAAAAAAAATTGTGCAAAAGTGTGGTGCTTGTAAAATACAATGTGTTTTAAGAAAAAAAAAGATATAAATCAAAAGGTTAGTGGAATTGGATATGCACTTAAAAAAGGTGGGTCCCATTTCCCATAGTTAAGATTCGACATTCGAGTATATACCTTCCAATATGTAAATTAAATGGACCAATGAGGATAGATTTTGCTGGCCCAATTTTGTTGCAAGTTTTCATGGATTTTAAGTCAATTTTGAATGATTAAATTATTTTAAATATATTTTAGTATTTGTTTTAACTATTGAAATTATATTCCAACGGGCTTTTAAATCTTAATAATCAAGCATATGTTGCCCTTCTTACGTGGATTAGTCAATTAATCCTTAGACAGTTAATTGGGCTTGAACTTCGTTAATGTACGAGAAGTATTATTATGTTTGTTTTATGGGTAATATGTCATTGGCTCCTCAAACGAAACTTAATTTGAACTAAATGACAAGTTTACGTACAATTTTTTAATTAAATCTTTAGTTTGAAATATTATATGTGCCACATTCCTAATTTTTTTTTTATCCCTATCTAGTCTTTATACCCTAAATTATATAACCTATACATTCACGTTCTTCAATTTAGATTTATTTTTCTTCCTTTTGTTTTCTCTCTCTCTCACGTTCCCTCTCTCTCACCGTTCTCTCTCACGCTTGCTCCTCTCTCTCTCTCTCTCTCATTTTTCTCCAGTAGCAGCATGAAAGCCGCCGCCGCCGGCGACGGGGGGAGAAGGAGCAGGGGCGGCGGAGGGCGTCGTGGTGGAGGCGGCGACGACGGGTGGAGGCGTGGTGGAGGAGGCGACGAAAGGGGGTTGTGTGGTGGGGGGTTGTGGTTGTGGTTGTGGTGTTATTAGAAGCATATTTTGACTAATTAATTGCATTTAATTTTCTTATCTTCTAAGAGATCTTGCTTGATTTGGGTTCATATAGCGGATCTATGTTTTTCCAAAGTCGGTAGGTGACTACAGTCGCGGTGGCTACGAGCGGTAACTGCTAGGGTTGGAGGTGGCTGAAAAATGTTGGCGGCTAGGGTTTGGTCGTAAAGCATAGTGCACTGTAGTACTATACTATAGTATACTACACCCTAGTATACTATAGTACACTGGAGTATACTATAGTCTACTACAAACAAACTAAAAAATATGTAAATTGAAAAAAAAAAAGCATGCTTTTCTTTTTATAAAGAAAAAAAAAAAGTGTTTATAACAGTGCATAAAATGAAGAAATAAAGAAAAGGAAGATAAACGGATATTCTGTAAAAAAAAAAGTTATGTGGAAATTTGAAAATATTAAATGCATAATAAAAAAAATTGATAAATACAATTTTGAATTTACTTAATGCATATTTTGAATTTGTGAGTGGAGGAAATTTTTGGAATGAAGTTCATGAAGGATGTGAAGCAAATGTTTAATTGGACTTGTCATTTAGTTCTAATAAGTTTTATCACTAGGGACCTACATCCTAAGGCCCTGTTTTACGGGCTCATACGAATCTAGCGACACATTTCAGCTTAGAATGAGCTATTAGCTTGACTTGTGACATGTTGCTCGTTAACTATAGAAATTGAGTAAATTTAATTAGTAGTATTACGCCTCATTTCGTTGCTAAGATAAGATAATTCTCCCTATAAAATAATATGCCTATTATTTTATAAGATGTTTGTTATCAAATTTTGAATTTTTTTATCTCCCCATTATTTAATAGTATTTCATGTTTGGTTTTCTTAACATCAACCCAAGTACATTAAAGTGACCGAATTATCTTTTCTAATTATACATTGTTTTTTTCTTTATTTATATTTTGTAATATTTTATTTTTTTCGAAAAAAAAATTATTTTTAATTTTTTCGAATTTCGTCATTAAAGTATCTAATCATAACACAATAATTTTATTGGACCTCTCAAGGTCCAATTAGTTCTCTCAATTAGACATGATCATGGGCCGGTTCGGGCCGGTTCCAGGCTGGTTCACTCCGATTCCGGGCCGACTCTGGAATTTAATACTTTTTTTTATATATTTTTATTTAAATACTTGATGGATAAATAAATTAAGAATTACTTTTAAATAGGAAAAGGAAAAGGAAATAAATGAAAGGACTTGAACTTAATTTTAAATTCAAAATTTTAAAATTTTCGAATTTAAAATGAAGTTTCCTATGACGTGAACTTGAATACATTTTTTTACTTACAATTGAAGAGAAATTCTATAATGCAATACAATTTCTTTGATTTTTTTTACTAACAATGAAAGAGAAATTCGAAAATGCAAAATATTTTTTATTGGTTTTCTTTTGACTAAGATTTGAAGAGAAATTCGAAAATGCAAAACAACTTTTTGGTCTTTTTTTTTTTAACTAAGAAGTACGAATTGAAGACAATTATAGACAAAATTCTTAAAAAATGAAATAACGGCCGATCGGTTCGTCGGGCCGGTTCACTAGCCGTTATGATCCGTCGGTTCGGTCCGGCGGTTCACGGTTCACATAATTCAAGAACCGGGCCCGTCTTAAGAGATACGGGCCGGTTCACGGTTTCGGTACTGGTTCATCGGTCAATGGGCTGGTCCGGTTCGCCAACGGGCTGGTTCCGGGCCGAAAGCCGCCCCATGGCCATGTCTACTTCCAATTAGACAAGATAAGCCATGACAAAACTACTTAGGCGGGTCGATCCGAAAAATAATAGGACTAACCAAACATCAATCTAAACCTTACTATTTACTTAATCTTGGCTAATCTTGCTAACCAAACGGGACCTTAGTGTTTTATATGGCTATAAATCTTTTTCAACATAAAATAAATGGGAAATTAGTTGGAAGGCTCTTAAAAACGCGCTCTTGGTAGATCGTTTATTAATAACGACTTCTCCACAATAGTATTGAGGGGGTTTTGTGATTTGTAATTGGAGTAATTATATGTGTAAGATATATCAAATATTTGAAATCATGTAAAGATCATAATGGCATTCTAAGATCAAGGAAAAACAAAACAATCAAAGTTAAAACAAACTTTCTAGCATTCACTCGATGATAACATGCCTAAAGCATGCAAATTTCCTCTCGTTTCAAGGGTAATCTATTTATACTTGCGCCGAGACGCAAGCTTCAATTTTTTATCTTCAAATTCAATATTCAATTATTTTAGTTTTAATCCGAAAAGTAACAAGATTCAAGATTTCAGCTATGATTTTATATTATTTGAAGCCGACAATTTTAGAGGTTTTTATTTAATATTTAAATGTAGTGAGGTTACATGTGTGAGAAGAGATTATGGGTTACCTTCAAACAACTGAGCTACAACCGGTATCTCAGACACCACATCAAAATGTCCTTAGATCAAATTCAAAGGATTTTGGAGGTGGTCAGCCTTAGCCCTCATATGTCTCAAGTTGTAACTTCGTCTGGAACTGGAAGCCATTACGAAAAAATAGCCTGAAAAACAATCCAAATTAATAGATAGAGAGTAAGAAACATTGGCTTCAGATTAAAAAAAGAAGATGAATCAAGATTAAACTTCAAGGAAGAACAAAAAAATACCTTATGTTGAAGTGGGTTTCAGTGAGCACATGGAATAAGAGTGAAACGGCTATACATTATAAGGAGAGAGAGAAGAGAGAGTAACATGGCTTTTCCCCATACACCCCTCACACAATTTATAATACAAGGATAGACATAAGTAGTATAAAAGAGTTAAATGGTAAAGAAGATATAATACAAATATTAATTGCTCCAATTAGACATGGCCATGGACCGGTTTTTGGCCCGAAACCAGCCCGTTGACGAACTTGACCGGCTCGTTGACCGGTGAACAGATACCAAAATCGTGAACCGGCCCATGTCCCTCGGAACGGGCCTGGTTCTTCAATAATGTGAACCGTGAACCGCTGGTTCGACCCGACGGTTCTTTCGGATTTAATTATTCTTTTTTTGATATTTGAACATTAAGTAACTTTTTTAATTCTTGTAATATATTTATCCATCAAATATTTCAAAAATCTAAAATATTTGAACATTAAGTATTTAATACTTCAAATAAAAACATATTTTGAACATTAAGTATTTAAAAATCTAAAATATTTAAATATTAATTTCACTCTTATTATTCAAAAAATATATTAAGTCTTTTAACTTGTCTTTGCACATATAAAAAAATTACAAGAAATACATCAAATATTTATAAATTTAAAATATTTGAAAATTAAGTGTTTAAGTACTTCAAAATTCAAATAAAAACATTATTTGAATACTAAAAGTATTAAAATACTTCAAAAAATATTTTTTGACAAAAAAATAATTGAACTTTTTAATAAAAAATGCATTAAGGTTTAAAAATACTTGAACATAAGAAATTTAAATACTTCAAGTAAAAATATAGAATGGACATTAAGAATTTAAATACTTCATTTATTTCCTTCTTTCCCATTTAAAAATAATTCCTTTAATTTATTCATTAAAAAATTACTATCTTTCAAAACTTTTTATTTCAAAAATATTTACTCTTTTAACTCTTATTAATGGAGTGAATCGGCGGGCCGGTCTGAACCGTGTGTTGTAGGGCAGGTTCCAATTCCTGAAAAAGTGAACTGTGAATCGGATCGAATATTCCCATGGCCATGTCTAGCTCCAATACCATAAATAGGCAAAAGATAGAACCAAACAAGACAAAAAAAAAAAAAAAAAAAGTACAGCAGCTCTGCATCAAGAATACAGAGGTTAAGAGGCGTGATCAGTGCTAAATCTTTTTTTTTTTTTCTTTCTTTATTTGTTTATCGTCAAATGTATCATCAATAAATATATTCCCTATTGCTATAAGAACATGCGAATATTGCATTTTTGCTAAAAGTTTTTGTTCGCTTTTTCGCTTTGGATCTGACATTAGGCCTGAAGTCTCTCCAACGGAATTGCTTAGAAAAACTAACAGTAACGGCGACGCGGTGATTTGCACAATTTGGTTATATTAATAAGAAAGAACTTAGTTAAAGTAAACTAAAGAAAAAACTAAAACGAAAATAGATGCATCCTACAACACATATACAACTCATACATATAACTTAAAAAACTTATTTACTTAGGTACATTAACGAGCAAAAGTTTAAAAATTACTCGATATATATAACCCAATGTATCATCTCAATAACGTAGCACAATGTCGGACACGAAAAATATTCTTAATCTAAATCGCGGCGCGAAATAGGTAAAAAACATATATGGGTTTGCATGCATGTGGAGCACAAATGAATAGTCAACGTCTCCTAATTAATAACTTAAAAATGATTTTCATAGATCATGATATCTTTCATTCTATATAGAGTATGTATATGAAAAATTAGAAGCTACACTTAAATTAGAAGCTACACCTGGTCATTTACATTAAGTGGATTTGAATCATAGATCTACACAAAATTACACACGCCATGTATATATAAGCTTAGTGGGTAGTTATTTAATCAAATCTACAATTTAAATCCACTCGATATAAATAACCAAGTGTAGCATCTAACATTCCGTATATTTGTAAATTTAGACTTCCTAAAGTCAGTCATGGATCGCAATGTAACCTCCAATGCAGTTAATTAATTTCAAACTGGTGTCATATATCTTCATCCTACCATAGTACTAATTAGAAACTACTTACATTTAATGCAGTTGAATCAACCAAAAAACACCTATTAATTAAAAACATGCGTGAGAAAAACAGACACACACACAAAAACTAAAGAAAGAGGCCAAAGGGCTCAAGCTTGATACAGCTTGTTTGGTCGATCATCTCTTCCATCTTAGCCGTCAAATAGTTTTTCCAACCACCGACCTCGCCCTTCCTAAAAAACGAACTATTCGGCACATTAAGCAAAACGGAACCATTCTTGTTCACCTCCAAATTCTTCAGCCTCTCCACACAACACCTACTCAAAACCTCCTCAACTAATTCTCCTTCGTCACCGTTTACATAAGGCCTCCCCAAGAACTCGGCAATCTTCGAAACATGTCTCTTCGGCTCGGTCTTCAATTCCTCGTACTTCACAAACAGTATCTTATCGGGCCTTTTCTTGCTCTTGGCCCAGTACTCCACCATGTGGTAGAAGAACGAATCTCATTGATGGAACCCCTAGCAGAAGCAATCGATTGCTTTCTCCACTGGAAACTGATCTTCCTCTTGTTGTAAGATAGAGTTAAAAAAATGCAACATCAAGATTACGGTGTCCTTAGGGAAACGGATCTTCCTCCGATGTACACGATCTTGCACGGCTCGTTCTTGACGAAGTCGGGAAGGACAGAGTACGGGAGGTGGGTGTGGATGAGGCGTGGGGTCGATGAATCTTAGGGGTCGAATTGGAGTGGCTTGGTTGAATACATGGTGCTTTCGATTGTGGGAACAAGGTAATGTAGGTTTTTCGAGGTTAGAATATCAGAGATTGAGGTGATTTGGCAGCAGCGGCGATGTTGGGTGATGATGGAGACGTAGTTGGATTTGAGCAAAGTGGTCCATGTTTTCATGGTGGATGCAAGGAGAACGTCATCGTTTCGGGCGTGGAAGGTTGACCGGAAGGTCATGGCGGGACCCACGAGGCTCGGCTCGAACCAAAAGCCTTCCCATTGGTAGATGTCCATGGCTTCGCAAAAACGCACTCTTGGTAGCTCGTTTATTAATAGCGACTTCTTCACAATATTATTGAGGGATTTTGTGATTTTTAATTGGAATAATTTTATGTGTAAGATATATCTAATATTTGAAATCATGTAAAGATCATAAAGACATTCTAAGATGAAGGAAAAACTAAAAAATCAAAGTTAAAACAAACTTTCTAGCATTCACTTGATGACAACATGCCTAAATCATGCAAATTTTCCTCTCATTTCAATCACAATCTATTTATAGGTGCGCCGAGGCACAAGCTTCAATTTTTTATCTTCAAATTCAAATTCAATTATTTTAGTTTTAATCTGAAAAGTAACAAGATTCAAGATTTCATCTATGATTTTATTTTATTTGAAGCCGACAATTTGAGAGGTTTTTTTTGTAATATTTAAATGTATAGGGATTACGGGTGTGAAAAGAGATTAGGAATTACCTTCAAACAGTTGATTTACAACCGGTATCTCAGGCACCACGTCAAACATCCTTGGATCAAATTCAAAGGATTTTGAAAGGCGGTCAGCCCTAGCCTCATATGCCTCAAGTTGTAACTTCGTTTGGAACTACAAGCCATTACAAAAAAATAGCCTGAAAAATAATCGAGAGAGAGAGAGTCGGAAATATTGGCTTCACATTTAAAAACGGAAGATGGATGAGATTAAACTGAACTGAAAGAAGAAGAAAAATACCTTAGATTAAAGTGGGTTTCAGTGAGCGTAGGGAATAAGAGTGAGAATGGTACCATATTGGCCACATACAATAATATTGGGCTTTATTAGAATATATGGTGCGGGAGAATCATTGTTTGGACTTTTGGTGAGCTGAAATAATCATACATTGTATTTTAAGAAAACAACGATAAATGGACCTCAATCAATCATAAGATAATAAACCAATGGATAATATATAGAATGAAGCACTATTCCACAAACAACGTTCTTTTTCTTGGGGAACAAGTAAAAATATGATATGCTAGTTTCTATCTAAAAAGTGGAGAGGATTTAACCTAAAAAATGACCTTGTATAAATACTACTACAAATATAGGCCTCATTTAGGCCATGCATTACATTTTCCAGGCCGAAACCGCCACCCTACTACTACCTACTCTGCCAGGTGGCCAATTACTATTGGTTCTTTTTACTGTTCATCTGTCAGTGTAAGTCTGTCACATGCCCCTTTCTCCTCAGAGCTATCCCCGTACGGTCTACGCACTACTGAGGAAGTACATTGCCACCGAGGTACAACGTTACCTTGCTTAGTTACCTCGTATGGCCCAATCTTCTCTTGCCTACAACTTTGTTCGCTTACCTCGCTTGCCTTGGCCTATTATGCTATTGGACTTTCCTACTCTTAGGCTCTTGGACTTTCCCATTTTAAGACTCTTGGGCTTTACTTCAACTGGGCTTATTGCTCTTTATCCTTTGGGGCAAAACAGTATGGATCATTAATTTCGACAATAATAATAATAATAGTAATAATAATAGGAGGGTTATGCATAGAGATATTGAATGGAAAAGGCGACAAGATTTGTCGAAACTTCTTCTTTCTCTCCGAACCCTTCCACTACGCCAAAATGCATTTCAGGCGACGAAAATTTGCGACAAAAAAAGCTTATTCGCGACGAAAAAAATAATTTTGCGACGAAAGAAACGCAAAAAAAGGTCAAAAAAGTGCCCGTCGCAAATTTTTGCGACGAAACATAAAAAGTGTCGCATGGTTTGCGACATTTCCAGAGAAACGTCGCAAAAATTTTATTTTTTCGTTAGCTGAAATATTGCGACGAAACCTTTGGGAAACGTCGCAAAATCAATGATAAAGTTGCGACTAAAATAAAATGTCGCTCTTTGATGCGACGTTTATTTGTAATTAATTTCGCCGCAAAATTTAAATTAAGGATGCGACGTTTCCACAAAATCGTCGCAATATTACATTTTTCAACTTTTTTTATTAGTTGATGATTTTAATTTTTTTTATTGTTAAACCTGTAATTATAAACAATACTAATAAAATAAAATTACAATAAAAATATTAAACAACTCAAAATTTATATCCACTACTTCAAAATTCACATTTCAGTTAAATCATCCAAACATGAATTTAAAATATACAAAATGTTGATGTTGTAGTCTTACAAATATAAGGTAATCCTCGTTTTCTCCTTCATCTTCATTAGAATTAGTTTGCAGGTGGCACAGGGATTATGTTGTTCGGACATATTCTCAATCTGTTGAAAACACACAAATCACATAGTTAAGGAGTTGCTAAATCAATATAGAATCCTTAAAAAATTCATGTTGAAAAATAAAACTTCATGCATTTTATATTCAGTAACTCTTGCCTTCTTTTGTGTTTCATCACGACACCACTCAGTATATCTCAATTTCCCTTTCTTTCTGCGTGGCAGTTTCGACCGAGAAAAGCTTCAACATCGTCTGTCCAAAGAAGAAAACTTATATAATGAGCATAAAAAGGCCGATATAATCAATCTACATACATTTAATTGCAAAATAATAATAATAATGAACTTATGGATCTTCTTTCAAGTTGTCTGATCAATGGGAAACATAAGAAATTTTTTTCAAGAAACTTATAAGTAGTAACATCATTACCCATAATGAAACCTAAACAGTTAGACATGCATATATCTCATGTATATATACATAGCTATAGCATATATGCATAAATGTATACACATTTAATTGTCGGAGAACTGCAATTCCACAATAATAAAAAAATCATGAAGATTGCTGCATACACTATCTATAAAAATTACTATCTAAATCATCAAAATCATTAAGAGATAAAAGACACCAATAGTTGATTTATTTTGGAACCCTTCCAGCATTAGTTGTGGTGATCATCCAGTGAACAATAAGAAGGTGATCATCTAGTGAACAATAAGAATGAAGAATAATACAGAAAATCACCAATTTCAGAAAGCAAACAAGTCAAGAAAAAGAGAAGTACATGGCCAGGCGTAGGCTCAGGAACATTCTAAAATACATACAATTTCAATTAAATGATTTTTTTATTAGCACAACTACATTCTGTAACTATAGAATTAATTGAGAAAGAATTTTAACCTTACCAGCAAGGTAAAGAGCAGACTCAACGGTGAAAGGGTGGTTTGCGACAACGAACAACAAAACTCGGAGAACTGGTAATGTACATTGGCGAGCAACGAAAGGCGGTGAACGCGGTGAACGGTCAGAAATTCCAATCGAACTACTAGCATGGGAAAAGGGAAAAAATTTACAAGTTTGTCAAATAAGATTTTAATCCAACTAACAAACCATATCCATTGATCAAATATCAGTAAAACACATTCTAAAAAATAAGACAAAAAAAACAAACAAAAAATATTAAATTAAGAACAACAGTAGATAACCATAAATTAAAATAGTTGGTCTTTGCAACAGTAAGCCACAATAGATTCATTTTAGAAAAAGAAAAAAAATGAAAACCCCAAATTTAAGTATTTGAAAAACAAAATAAGAAAAAAAAAGGGGTAGTAAGACCATACCAATTGATTAGCAGGCTTCAAGTTTCAATAATTCGGTGTGGGCGTCGATGGAGGTGCAACGGCGGAGATGGCGTTGGCGAAGGGATGAGGTGGCGTTGGTGTGGGCTCCTAGCGCATCGGCGAAGGGCGGATGGGGGGTCGGCGAAGGGCGGAGGTGTCGTTGGTGTGGGCTCTTGGTGCGACGGAGAAGGGCGGAGATGGGGATGGCGAAGGTCGTCGCTGGTGTCGGCAATCGATGGCAGAGGGCTGCGAGAAAGTGGCGAGAGAGAGAGGGAGGGGTAAAGAAGATAGGAGAGAATTAGGGCATAAGGGTTTTTTTTAATTGATAAATTGCGACTTTAAATTACAAATGTCGCAAGCTTGAATTAAATTTGCGACTTTAAAATAAAATTTCGCAAATAATGTCGCAAAATCCCGATTCTACTTGCGACGTTTATATTAAAAACGTCGCAATATAAATTTATTAAAAAAAAAAATAATTTTTATTTTCCATTGCGACGTATTAGTATATTATCGACGCACGTTTGCGACGATAATAGATTTTTTGTCGCAACAATTGAACGGAAATTTTAGAACTTAATTTTGCGACAAAACTTTGCGACGAAATTATTTATCGTCGCAATAATTCTTATAAATTTATTATTTCCAATTATTTGCGACGAATTTCTATAAAATAGTCGCAAATCGTGCGACAAATATTTTTTCGTCGCAATAAAAAAGTCGCCTGAAATGCATTTTGGCCTAGTGTTCTTCCTCCTCACCAAATCAAGGTGATCGATCTTTAATTACTTAATTCCCATATGATCATATATAATCGAAATGTTTGTAATGATTATTTATAGTTTTAAATTAAGGGGAAACGTTCTATGTGCGATCAAGTAGAGGAAGCTGCGAATTACATAGCACACATGCAGA